TAGTGGACTGTGTAAGTGAAATAGGAGTATATGTATTTTAGACAATTATACAACATGGCTAGAATTGACTGTGATAATTGTGGATCTGACTGTGATTTATATTTATTGAGAAATTGTTGTTAATATTATTCATATGTTGTTAATTTATTTTGTTATTTAATGTATCTTTGTTGACTGCTGAATGTTATGTATGTATATATTCGTATTATCAATTTAATGCCAAATGAATAATTGACTCACATTTATTCGTTGTAAGTCGTTTTTGTTCCAAAGACTAAGGGAAACATAAAAACTTGCAACTACCTTTAAATATACGGTATTCCCTGAACTGAAGTATAAAACCATTCGAGGACGAATGTTCTTCACATGGGAGGGTGCCGTGTTACGGTTCCGTAATCATTCCCGTAACTATGGGTAACATTTTCTGTGGAAATATAAAGTACAAGTGAAAGAAAAACTCCCTGCAAGATACTGGACTATAAAACCACAAGTTATCTTTCATTAATTGTATGCTTAATTCCATTAACGATAGTATATTTACCAAGTGTAAAATTGGGACGAGGTCGGTAATTAGTGACGCCCGAAATTTCTCGATATCTTGCATTCCCACGTCACGCTTGAACTGTCTATAATTGTTTTGTTTATGCTTACAAAGTCCATCAGTGATAAGTATTATGAATGTTTCCCTCAGTAATTATCCGCGCCCTAGAGTGCGTGTTTCTTTTCGTCAGATCGATCGGCATGGCAGCATAACGTGTCTTTTTCGCTTTAACAAAGATGGTGGGTTTACTCTGTCGTGACGTCATGACAATCGAGCCTGAGGTCAATATAAACCACAGCCGATAGACTGTTAGACAATAGACCTTTTTCATAAACATTCTATCCGGTCCGGTTTTAACCTTTAGTTTTTACAAAGTCACGTGATACCCGACAACAGCGTCTTGAGATACAATGGCGACTACACCGTTTTCAGCGTATAAAGTTGACGAGTTACAGATGTTCTTTGAAAAGAAAGAGGATTTCTGTTTCAAAATTGAAACGTATGGATTTATTGAGGCTATGTGATGCAGTTGTAAAGCTCGATTTGCCAGATGACCCCGATATGTGCTCCGATCAGCCTCTGTCTGTGCATGATATTTTTAGTGAATTCTCAGTAGAAGATCCCTTCCGGATCCAGGGGCTGTCGAATGATCTAACAAAGCTACCAACATTTTCGCTCTATGATGTATTTAATTATTTATTATATAAAACGACAAACTATGACCAAAGTAAATTAAAAGCTTACAAGTCTTGTGAGGATTACAGACTTTTTTCGATGGCTATGTTGAGCAGTTGGAAATGAAAGAACTTGATGATCAAGACCTTCACCTTATCAAGTCTTGTGTTAAGCCAACGCAGAAGGATAAGACTTATCTAAATAAGACTGCATACGATGTTTGGGTCATCAAGGCAAAAAACAGAAATGTAAAATGTGGGCACTGCACATGCATTGGTGGGTATGTATATATCATGTATATAAAACATACGAACAGGTTAAATTAATAATTATTTAAAGCACAATTAATCAGTTTAATTAATCTCTTTTTGGTTGCATAATGTTTGTTGAGTAATGAAACTTAAGTGACTCCAGGCATACAATATGGCATACAATATAGGTACTTAAACCAAGTCCTATATAATATATTCAAAGTAGTCACATGTGTATTACATGTGATGTATGTAAACAATTATGATACAGTGTTATGGCTGAGAAAAATATAGTCCAACAGAATGTGTGTAAGCTAAATTTCACACACTTTTTCTCCTCAGAGCTGATGGTGGATGCCGTCACATGAGCGACTTTATATGAAATTGAAGCCTTCGAAGTCAAGTCAGTCACGGATGGGGGCAATTTATGGGCTTAAAGACCACGACAACATGATTGCCCAGTTCCCGTCAAGCAACTAAAGATAATGAAAGCAAGCTTCATGTATAACAATAAATTATCAAATTTTGTATAAATCCTTGTATAATTTTAACGTCATCATATAAATTAATTCTGCAGCGGTTGATTATTTTAATAAGCTTCATAAATAGATAGTCTACATTTAATTCCCCCCCCCCCCCCAACACAGAATAATTACTTCTCTGTACAAATTTAACTACAGGTATACAGGTGTGGAATATAACCAATCTGATGCACACAATTTTGACCCTCGCAGTGTGGATCAATGGCAGAATTACTCAGAAATGGAAATCACTGAAATAGCAAGAAGTCTTTGAGAGATATTTTCTCTTAATTGTATAGTTTTTGCTTAGAGTGTTTTGTATTTTTCAAACTGAATGAAATTAATGAAAATTCAAGGAATTTTCTATTCTTGAATGAAAATGAATCATTCATTCATGTTGTACAATATAAGGTATTTTGTAAGATGCATACTATAAAGGATAAAAAAGTTAAAATATTTTTGTCAGTGTGACTTTTGATGGCAAGTGAGGCATCAATTAAGAAAAAAACTGTTATTTCAGTTTCATTAAAAAAATATATATTAATGTGTTCTCTTTAAAACTTTTAATGAACAATTTATTTTTGTTTCCCAATTTCAGATATCCCTCAATATACAAGCCCTAGATATTCTTGAGGTACAAAAGCCAGTAGAGAGTGTTACAGGTGACTGTGATCAAACGTGTCAAAAATGTACTGTTTTTACCATCTCAAACATGTTAAAAAATGTTAAATCTACTGCTGCAAATGACCCTGTGAAGTTATGTTACCTTTCTAATGATAATATTGCACACATTGAGTCATGCACAGCTGAACAGTCTGACAGCAAGACTTGGCATGAGCTCAGGAAAGGCAGATTGACTGCATCTAATTTTTGTAAAGTTTGTAAAGCAGTTGATGCCAACAAACGTCAACCTTCATTTCTTAAGACTATTTTAGGTGAATATGGTGAAGTCACTGCTCCATCTTTACTGTGGGGTAAAAAGAAAGAGGTAGCAGCCCTTCAGCTTTATATGAAAGTATGTTGTTAATCACATCTTCATCCCCGTTTGTCACATAAAGGTTTAAGAATACATCCTACCATGAATTTCATTGGTTATTCTATTGATGGTCTTTTCACATGTAAATGCCATGATTGTACTATTCTTGAGGTAAAATGCCCATTTAGCTTAAGGGATGAAGATCCAAAAGAAGTGTGTCTCAGAAAAGGTTGTGTCATCAATAAAAAAGGTGAAATCATTGTAACTGAAAACTCTGAATACTATCATCAAATTCAAGGTCAAATGGGTATATATGGCATTCATCAATCTAATCTCATTCTTTACACAAAAAGGGAATCGGTGTTGCTCAGGCTGAGTTTGATCCTTACTTTTTTGATACAATGCTCAACAAACTTGAAACATTTTTTAAACAGCATATAATGAAGTCTTTTATGCAAGAGTAACTGCTGGTATGTACTTGATGTATACATGCAAGTTGGTGCAAATTGATACTTGAGATAGAAATATTTTTTAAAAACATTCATGGCTCAGTATATATATATATATTTATATTTTGAACATTGTATACGTTGAAATCAATAAATACTGAAATATCAACACCAAGATTATCATTATGTTATTTATTATGAGGAAGTCAGATATTAATGAATATATCATACATGTCATATATCAATGTATAGTGCCCAGCTACCTATAGCCCTTTACACACAGAAAGCTGTTTTGATAATTGTGACATATTAAGCTATTTCTATCATTCATATTTCACTCTGATTTATATTCAATATGTGTGGTCATGCAATGGGTTTTGATATAATTATTTGTCTTGTAAAAAATCAATTCTTTTTCATTCAACATCAAATGTGCTTTCAATACATGATTATAAAGTGTCTTGAGATATAGTTGCTATAAGGTAAAAAAAAAATTGAAAAATGTGAAATAAAAGTTTTATCAGTTGTGCTTACATTTGTGAAAAGCTAGTGCATAGATTCTTGAGTTAAAATGTTTAACACTTCTTTTTGTGGAAAGGGCTGCAGATTTACATATATACTCACTTTACAAGTTGAGTGTCAAGGTTGCATAACATTGCACACACTCTTACAATTTGATTGTAAACAGGCTTCATATGGAGTACAATAACACCCTGCAAAATTGTATTGTTTTTTAAACGTCCAATCGCTCTCTCTACATGGATTCTAGCTCGTGCAATCCTCCTAGTTTTAGTGGTTGCATTGCTGCCTAACTGCTTTCCAAAAGAAAATGGAGGAATGTTTAACGTGGCACCCTTCATTGCCAATTCACCTCTAATGAGAAACCCACGATCAGCCATCATGTCATGGCCAAATTCACTATTATCCAAAAAACCAGAATCTTGAACTATTTTCTTGTCAGATATACTACCAGTATATAAATCAGAGACAAAACAGAAAGAACCTGTGGGAGTTATAGCTACAAGACACTTAAAGGTATTATGATGTTTGTAATTTGAGTTTGTAATTCTTTGAGCAGATGGAAGACTAGGTTTTTGTACAAAAGATTCTGTGCAGTCTATTATACATCTTGTCTTTTTAAAATAATGAAAGCATTTCGGTAAATTCTCCATGATTTGTTCTTTGGAAGGCCACGTAATTAGAAAACCGAGGTCAATATTCATTAGACACAACCAGGTAGTGAATATTCGACACACAGAACTTTCAGAAATGGCAAACATATCACCCAGGGACTTGGTGTCGAATCCTCTAGAACGTAATCGTAACAGGGTAAGACTGAACTCTTCCTTCAGTGACAATAAGCGCTTGGGTCCTCTTCTAGGAGTCTGTAAATATGGGAGATTCTGTTATTTAGAAATCAATAACATAACAATGTAGAAACTACTGATTACAAGCTGGTTAAAGCTTTAAAATTTATAAGTAATAAAGAAATAATGTTGAAGAACTTTTTTTTTTATCAAAGTAAAGTTAATACTAAACTGACATAGATCACAAATAAGCAGACAGTTAATTACCTTGTTTCAGTACTGTTCCAGTATACCATTGAGGATGCCTTTAACTTCAACACATTGAAAATGATTGTAAACACAGCCAGTGATAGTCCTGTGGATTAAAGCATAATTGTACATTAATTAACAAATTAAAGCATATACTGAGTTTGAATGTACTTAGGGCAGAACTGATTGTTTTAGATATATATGATTACAGTTATTATACACATTAGTCACAGGACAGTTTCAAGGTAATTGTGGAATAAATTACATTCAAAATTAATTCAGAAGTAACTTTGTATCAAATATTATTGATACAAATTCAATATATAAGAAAACTATTCATCAACCTGTATAAAATTTACAGGACTTGTCATCTTTGAATATGTCATCTAGATCTGTCAATAGTCTTCTCTTTGTGTACCCTCTATCAAGGAAGCTGTTATCTTCAATGCCAGACATCCCCTTCATGTCAAGGTTGGTTTGAGTTGTAACTGACACACCAGCCATGTGCACAGGTCTAGCATACAAGTGGCCATCCACTAAAATTAAATAAACACCATGAGCTTTAAATATCTATTTTTTTCTCAATACTTATAATTAGACATTTAAAAAATAACTGAGTATTATTTACAGGACTCATATACAAAAGCTTTCAGTATCATGTACATATAGATTTAATAGTCATGTTTTTAAGTTTACAGTGATTGTAATTCAATGTATTGATTATTTCAAGAAATCATTCTGCAGCTATTTTTATTGTGAATATTGTTTATTCATACCCTGTGTGTGTTGAATTGACACATCTTTACTGCCAATGGTATACTCCCCTTCCACTGTGACAAATATCGTGGCTCTGGACAGTCTGGTACACACTCAGAGACCTTACTTGGACCAACATTCTCTTTATTTTCTTTTATCAACTGTTTCGTTGCCAGAGGTTTTCTTGCCTTAATAATAATTCTACGTGAGTCTGCACTCACTGGATAAGGGTGCAAATCAGTAGGGCGACCGTCAACAAAATGTTTACTGCACACATATGCATGTTTATTGACGTTCTCCACAGTAAAGAATTTTCGTCCACGCGCTTTCACCCATATTTTGGTGTCATCCAACCTAGTTTCTGGTTTTGGAATAGGAAAAAAATTTGACCCCTTTCTTATATTCTCGGTCCCTGTACCTATTGTCACTGTTGAAAGTGCCCCACGAGCAACGTTTTACCATTATCGCTGATAATGTTTTTGTAATATTCCGCCACTGAATGTCGGGTATCACGTGACTCTGCCGCTTGCGCGCTTGAAAAATTGCTTATATCAATGGAAATATGAAAGACGACTACTCGACTGCTTATCATCGTATCGGCAAGATGTCTTGGCGCGATAGTCGTTGGGTAATTACGATTACATAATTAATAATTCCCTAAATCTCTCCCATTTGAGAATATTTTCTAGGAGAGAAATAATATTTCTACGGGAGAAAGAAATAGGGATAATCATTCAAAGAGATTGTGAAAATTAAATAGAACACGCAATAATAATTTTTTTTATACATTTTAATCCTGACTCATAGTTCTTTTGTCCAATATGCAGAATTGGGAGACCCACAAGTTGTCTCAAGGGAGAAAACCCCTGAACGGCAAAATTTACAACATTGTAGCATGCGATGATTTATAACACCCTCAAACACACATGATCTCATGTTAACAACACTGTAGCATGAGACCATTGACATAACATACATGTAGCATTGGCATTTTCTCTTCACCTTTCTCTTCTTTCTCTTTATTTTAATATATTTTGAGCTATATTATTGCTTATTATACTTACATCATGGATAAGATATTGGATGTGCACATTTAACTATAAATTTGTCAGCACATTAAAATATTGAGAAAAGCTTAGTTTTCATCCCAAATGTACATAAAGGCCTAAAAGGTATAAATAAGTTTTAACAATAAAAGGCAGTATGTAGAAAATTTAAATAACTTAAGTAAATTATTTAAAAATTATTTAAATTGTACCATTTTATTTATCAAAACAAATAACCATGACCATTAATCGACATTTATTTATAAATCATTAGCACAACTTAACTAATATATATTCACAAACTCACTGTGTTACCAATTTCTTTACATTTCATTTCCATGTCCATTTATGATAAACAATCGCCTCGATTTTCTTTTAGACATCGGGTTCGATGCCACCTGACTTTCTAGAACTTTCAACAAATAGCGAGATCGGACATAATACGGAAAGGATTTGCACATTTTGTATGCTAGAAAGACCGTAAAGCACGTGTTTACAACGAAAACCAGAAGGAGAAAGCGAAAACGGTAAGTGTTTTTAGACTCTCAAAATGTGAAGGCACCCATCTAACTATGAAATTTTAAATATTTAATGCTTCTTGTTGCTATTTATAATAAGAAGCAGATGAAAAACGCAAGACAATATCTGTATTTTAACGAACCAGAAGTCTCTGTCGAGACTGAAGCTCTACTGGTTTGTACTTATAGCAAAGGAAGAGAAAAGTACTTAAGCAGTTGGAAATTGAAACTTTTCAACAGATAAATAGAATAATTATCCTTGATTAAGTCTCTTTATGTTCTTAGTGCAGTCTACTTGCATGCAACATTTATATTATAATCAGACTAAAACTGTATTTGGAGTAGCATTTTGAAAGAATTTCACAGAAATTTCTATTATTAGTAACCACGGCAACACCGTTCATCGAAATCAAAAACCGCTACACAGAATTATGTATCTTACTGTAGTCTACTTGTGTGCCAAGTTATTGAAATCAGACTAAAACTGTAGAAGGAGTAGCATTTTGAAAGAATTTCACAGAAATTTCTATTTTTAGTAACCACGGCAACACCGTTCATCGAAATCAAAAACCGATATATAGAATTGTGTATCTTAGTGTAGTCTACTTGTGTGCCAAGTTATATTGAAATCAGACTAAAACTGTAGGAGGAGTAGCATTTTGAAAGAATTTCACAGAAATTTCTATTTTTAGTAACCACGGCAACACCGTTCATCGAAATCAAAAAGCAATATACAGAATTATGTATCTTAGTGTAGTCTACTTGTGTGCCAAGATATATTGAAATCAGACTAAAACTGTAGAAGGAGTAGCATTTTAAAAGAATTTCACAGAAATTTCTATTTTTAGTAACCACGGCAACACCGTTCATCGAAATCAAAAACTGATTTACAGAATTATGTATCTTATTGTAGTCTACTTGTGTGCCAAGTTATATTGAAATCAGACTAAAACTGTAGAAGGAGTAGCATTTTGAAAGAATTTCACAGAAATTTCTATTTTTAGTAACCACGGCAACACCGTTCATCGAAATCAAAAACCGATATACAGAATTGTGTATCTTAGTGTAGTCTACTTGTGTGCCAAGTTATATTGTAATCAGACTAAAACTGTAGAAGGAGTAGCATTTTGAAAGAATTTCACAGAAATTTCTATTTTTAGTAACCACGGCAACACCGTTCATCGAAATCAAAAACTGATAAACAGAATTATGTATCTTAGTGTAGTCTACTTGTGTGCCAAGTTATATTGAAATCAGACTAAAACTGTAGGAGGAGTAGCATTTTGAAAGAATTTCACAGAAATTTCTATTTTTAGTAACCACGGCAACACCGTTCATCGAAATCAAAAACCGATACACAGAATTATGTATCTTAGTGTAGTCTACTTGTGTGCCCAGTTATATTGAAATCAGACCAAAACTGTAGGAGGAGTAGCATTTTGAAAACTTGTTTACAGACAGACAGACAGACAGAAAGACAGACGGACGGACGACGGACGCATTACTATCGCATAAGCTCTTCTGGTCTCTGACCAGTAGAGCTAAAAATTAAGTAAACTGTTCATGGCTTCGTTTTCGTGCAGAAGTGGCGGCTCCAATAGCACTCATTTCAGCCTTTTTTTAATTTCCAAAATATATCTAATATACCTGAAAATGTTTTTTATGCTATTAAAACTGTAATAGTATAGAGTGGGTTTAATAAATTTTACATGGTCTTGCAAAAATGACAACAGAGAAAATTCGAAATCATGTTATACCGCATATGACAGTCATATGTTCAATTCACGAAACCGTCAGACGATGTGTAAATTAAATGACGCATGATGAATGGTAGGTGTTTTAACGATTGTAATAGCATATATTCCCAATTTTCTACAGATCAAGAATATGTCAAGGCATGTATACAACAATCTCAATCTGTATCAAATAATTGAAAGCAGGAGAATAGGATACTCGTATCATCAGTATTACTACATGTATGTTAAAATTTTTTCGGATGGTCGGTTAGCAAGTGACAGTGGTTCGGTCTATGGCAGAAAATTGCTTACCCTTTTGAAAAAAAAACTACTAAGGAAGTATATGAGGACAGCACCTACATGGAAGTAAGGGAAATATTTGAAAACAAAATCGAAGACTATCTCCATGAAACAAGTGACTATATAGAAACCTTCATTGAGGTGTTAGCAGAAGATATCTTTTTTAGAAAGAAACTAAAATAAATTGGTTTCACTGACATTCCAGAGATTATTTATGAAATAAATCGAGTCGTACTTGAAAACGAAGGAATAAAAATGACTGTTTTAGATGACTATGATGCTATTGTTAACTAATCCTCAGTAAAAAATATGCCACAGAGAAGCTTTAGACCTTTTTGAAAAAATGAAGCTAGACAGTATTCCTCTATGTAAAATAGATCAATTTTTTCAAGAATGAAACTATTAATTCAGATGCATTGATCAGGAAATTGAGAAGAACAAATGAGAATTTAAAAAAGAAGGGAAAATTCAAAACAGAATTTAAAGCATTACAGTTTGAAATTCCAGTAGGTACCACAAATGCAAGTAATGTTAAGAAGTCAATAGTAGAATCATTTTAAACAGAGGCTGCAAATATGGGGTACCTGTAAAGTGCGAAACGAAATAGAAACGAAACGAAACGAACTGAAACGAAACAAAATCTGCCGAAACGAAACGAAATCTAACGAAACGAAACCTACCGAAACGAAACGAAATCAAGACGAAACGAAACGAAATCAAAACGAAACCAGCCGAAACGAAACGAAACAAAACTTTCAAAATGTTTTTTTTTTCAAATCAAAGTATATACATGTACATATAGTTATATAATGTGTAACTGCATATGATCTATTTTCATTCAAAAGGAACCCTGCCGAAACGAAACGAAGAAGGATATGGATATAACGAGCATTATTCGATCTTAAATTTAAAGTCCATAAAACAAAACTATCAAAATGTTTTTTTTTTCTCAAATCAAGGTACATGTATATAATTATATATATGTAACTGCATGTGGACTTACTATTTTTTTTTACTTCAAATAAAATTTATATAACACTTTCAATATAAAATTTAATTACCGATAAATTATGCTTCCTTCTCAGACTAATGCTGTATTTACATGTTTGTCAGCTGCAAATATGCACGAGCGTATAATGCATGCATAATTTCAATATGTACAGTATTTTCTAATTTTTATGTCTTACTCTTATTTTCAGCCTTATTTATCTAGATGCAACATAACTATCAAACTTCCGTCGCCCGTGTGGCGCAGTGGTTAGAGCGTCTGCTCTAGAGTCGCGAAGTTTGGAGTCAATCCTTACGTCGCGGGTTCGAATCCCACTGTCGGATGAGACCGTATAAACCGAGGTCCCGTGTCGCAGTAGGTGCGGGCACGAGAAAGATCCCTCCATGCTCAATGCCCTGAGTGCCGAGTATAGGACAAAATTTGCAGCTCTCCACCGGTAAATGGT